CCAGTAGCTCCTCATCTTTCTTGAACTGGGGAGCCCAGAACTGGACACAGCACTCCAGATGGGGCCTCACCAGGGCAGAGTAGAGGGGAAGGAGAACCTCCCTCGACCTGCTGGCCACACTCCTCCTCATGCACCCCAGGATTCCATTGGCCTTCTTGGCAACCAGGGCACACTGCTGGCTCATGGTCACCCTGTCGTCCACCAGCACTCCCAGTCCCTCTCTGCAGAGCTTCTCTCCAGCAGGTCAGGCCCAGCCTGTACTGGTGCATGGGGTTGTTCCTCCCCAGGTGCAGGACCCTGCACTTGCCCTTGTTGAACTTCATCAGGTTGCTCAGCTTGCCTACATTTTTTTTGCCTACAAATGATTTTTTGCCTACAAAAAATCAGTTCATCTTGCCTACAATACTCAAAATTTCATTCCAGTAACACTTCAAGGCTCCAAACTTCGACACCAGTCACAGCGGATCAGGTATTTCGTTTGAAAAGAGGCCGTAATTTGATATTGAAAAGGTTAATATTATTATTAATATTTTGTTAGATGTGTTAATCACTCAGATTTCTTTCAGTGTTAGTCTTCAGTGTGAAAATTATCATGCATAACCCACGAAACCTAAAAGCCAACAGATAACCTCTGCAGATCATCTGCAAAGAGAATATGTGGCAAAAGAATGCTTGGTAATTGCTCTTCGATTAAATGCTGTTCGATTAATTAGAAAACATATAATTTCTGACAAATTCAACAGCCTGAGCAAAAGCTCTCATTGTCTTGTACGTATTGATGGCAAATGGTGAATGTGTAACCTGCAATTGCCCAGGTAGGATCCTGTTAGCTGAGCGTAATTATATGGATCGTAAAGAAGCCTAATTTCTTTATTTTTGTGAAAACTGGTTACAGCATAAGCAGCTAGAAGCTCAAAAAAGCTGAAACACAATGAAGAAATGCAGTAATTGGACCACACAAGCGCCGCGTCAAAGAATCGCGCCATTTTTCATGTTGAAGAGTTCAATGCGAGCGAGTTACAGTTCTGTTTTACACGGGGATAGCCCTCTGGAACAGGAACAGAATTCAATTAGCGATGGGACTGCATTTCCTCAGTGCGTACTAACAGCCTCCAGTTGTTATATGTGCTCCCCCAGTCACATCAGAGAAGCAACCAGTTCTACACAGCGCTATCTTGAGCTGTGAAATTTTAATTCATCCCCCCAAAAGATTAGCATATCAATTACAAATGCTGTGCGAGTGCAAAAGATAAGCGTGAAGCTGATCCCCACAAATAACACTGTTAAACCGCTTTTTCCTTCTCGAAGTCTCATTGTGGACAAAGCTTATTTTTTTTCCATTTTATATCTCCATTACGCATTCTGTTGCCACCTCTACCCGAGCGTCAATTCAGCACGCCGAGCCGCACGCGTCCCGACGGCGACGCAGCCGCCAAAGGCTGAGCAGAAACACTGCCATGTACCTCTGCTATCGTCATTCTCATCGCACTGACCGGTGAGGGCTCGATATCCACCAGCGGCACCGCGTTCAAACTCTACGCGCAGAGACGAAAACACACGGCAGCGGGGGTTAGAAAGGCAGAGACAGTTAGGAAGATTCTGCTCCCTGTATTGAGAACAACCTAAAGCTTTACAGAAAGAACCGAGTCTAAACAAAGGAGCAGGAAGAAAAATCCAAATCACAGCTTGTTACAAGGGAAAGACAAGAGATGGTGTTAGAGATGGTAGCAATGGTAGCAATTCCAGAAAAATCACCCTTACATTATCTATGAACTGAATTTAATCATCTGGACTGGAGATCAAGACGTTTCTGTCTACCTCAGTTTACTAATGAATTCAAGTAATAAAAAGCTGCGCAAGGTTTAACTTTTTTTAAGCTCTAGTCTTATTTTCAACTGTTTTTTCTTAAAATAATGATAGCAGTGTTGGTGGGACACCAACAATCCACTTTAATAAAAGTGCTGTTTGGAAATGTATTTACACACCATGATTTACTCAGTTTTGATGTCACCGACGATGGCTTTGGAAGCAACATCTGCATCTAAATAATATTTTCTGAGCTTATTTTGGAATGCAATATTTTAACAGTATTCTTTCTAAATCATTCTTGTATTTATGTGTAAATATTCATTGAGTAATTTCATAGAATCATAGAATGATTTGGGTTGGAAGAGACCTTAAAGATCATCTGGTTCCAACCCCCATGTCATCAGCAGGGACATCTTCCACCAGCCCAGGGTGCTCAGAGCTCCATCCAACCTGGCCTTGAGCACTGCCAGGGAGGGAATTGGTTTTAGAGGTACATGGACACATTATCTGGCAAAGCATCACCCACGTTGCAGCCCGGCATTAGTGAGTATTAGGAGAATCTCATCAGCACGATAAAAAGCTAACAAAATGCAGGAAGAATAAGGCTGAAGGCAGAGGAACACAGGTCTGCCAGTCACAAAGTGGAAGCAAGAAAAGATTCTGCTCTTCCGTGGATGACCTTGAGCCTCTTTGACGCTTTCGTGGCGATTACCCACCTACTGCAAGCAGAGCTGCTGGAAATCAGGCCACTTTCCCCTTCTTTTCCAAAAACACAGCGTGAGGTTAAACAAGACTGGGATAGCAGCGAGCACTGTTCTCTTACCCGTTTATCACAACAACATTCTTAAAACCAGAGCAAGAAGAAATAAACCGAGGAATTAAGGAGGGTTCTTACGGTGTCGCTGTCGCTGGGTTGGAACTGGAAAGGCTGCGGTTTGTGAAACACGGAGTTCTCCTGTAAAAACAGCTGTAGATTGTAATCCCGCACCACCTGCCAAAATAACAAACGCCGTTTAGATCCGTTCTTCTGTAAACTTCAAAAAGCGCTACGAGTGAAATGAGTGCAGTATTTCAACCGGAGACAGAACCCTGAAGGCAACATGAGGAAATACAGGATCTGATTCCAGGCAGAACTACCTCCAGTTACTCAGAAGCGACTGGTAGGACACACAGCGGGCAATAAAGAGCAAAAAAATATCTGCCATTAACCTACGAATAATCCCACACAGGCAAAACGGGGGAAAAAAGCATCAATTACAGAGTATGTGATATGTGGTGTCACCACCGTAAATATTTTCCTCTCCTCTTGTGGATAATTTCTCGTATGCAGTTCTTTCTAAAGCTGAAATGTTTTATTTTTAAACAAATTATAAGTTATAGGAGCTGAAAAGACTATTTGGAATAGTGTGTATAAAATAGTTGCAAAATTCATTGCTTTATATTAAATGGCTTTCAGAGAAAATGCTCTTAGCTTGCGTTTTCCTAAACCAAAACTACTTCAGCTACTAAATTTGTTTAATGATACATTTCAGACAGCACGACATGTATCCCTAAACAAATCTCTTCTGGCACAATTTACACATATTTATGCAGAAAAACTCAGTGATTGCAAGATGAAAAAATAGTATCACTGCCTGAAGAACTCTAGAGAGCATTCACTGCTTCAGTTGTGGAAAAATGTGTAAATAGCAGCATGAAATTATAAAAACCTACTACCAAGCTGAGGGTTTAAATGTACAGAAGTCTATAATAAAGATGATATTTATGCAGAAACAGCAGCAGCATCATATCTGACCGAGAATCCGGATTACACTCTATGTACAATGCTAAACACAGCACGCTCTCCAATGCATCAAAACCTTGATGCTCATCTTACCGAAACACTGAACTGTAAAAAATTAATCTTCAGCTGGAGAAAGTAAATAGTCCTGCAGTAATAATGCACTTATTTAAAACACTATAGCACAAAATTACTGCACCAATGCGGGCAGTTGAACGTCAACACATTCAAATGCGTAGAAAACATACAGAGAAGGCACACAGGGAGCCGTATTCCGAATTCCCTTAAACAGAAACTCAGAAAATACTGAAGGAGGAATCACCGGCAGCTTCAGCTGATGCTCAGCACTGGCCATGGCAGCGAGATCACTGACATCCAACAGCGCCGGCCGTCACATAGCCCTTCAGACACATGTGAACACTGAGCATAGCACACAACTCCGTGCCACGGCAAATACACAACACTATTTTAAAGCAACTTCAATTCGAAAAAAACCCAAAGTGTAGTCACTGAGTCCAGGAAAACCCACACCAGTATTTTAATGCAATAAGCTTTCGCTGTAGACCTCTAACTCACAAGCAACTCCATTCTTCAAAGCAGAAAAATCACCTTCACAACAGCACTCGTAAGAACAACCCCATGCAACGCTGCAGGCTTGGGGAGGAGTGGCTGGAAAGCTGCCCGGTGTAAAAGGACCTTGGGGTGCTGGTCGACAGCTGGCTGACCATGAGCCAGCAG